GCATGGGAAAGATAATTTTGTATCATCCGTGATAACTGGACAGATACTTCTCGTTTTAACTATTCAGAAGTATTCCTGTTCCAAAGAGATACATGCAACAAGTACAGAAGTATTCCATTGTTAGATGGCTGCTAGACACTGTTTGTCACTTCCAAGACCAGTTTAGATGGATAAAACTTTGAGAATGTATCATGTTCTTTTGCATGCAGAAAAATTATGTGGGCAGGATAATCTGGATGCACATACCAGAAATAGAGAAACAAGTCTAGCATGGAAAATAATCTATGGTTATGCCTTTTCTTCAGCATTTATGTGTATATTACAGGAGGTTGAAGTGCCACAGATGAAAAAAAAGGCAGCCTGTCAAAGTGTCTGCAGTCCTCCTTGGCAGAAAGTTTCTCCTGTAAAAAAAAGGCAGCATCTCAAAGTGTCAGCAGTCCTCCTTGGCAGAAAGTTTCTCCTGTCACTTGTTTTAAGAGTGTTCATAGCACGCTCGATGAGCTTTTGTGTAGCAACATAAGTGATATTGTCTTTCCTGTCTGGGTTTGTCCACTTGATGAAGAATAATTTGGCTTTAGATAATCACTGCCCTGCTGTTTCTGACTGGAATATAGCAGTGTGATGCTTCTGGATATAAAACAAAGTCCAGTTGTTTCAACTGTAATGAGTTTCATTAACATGCAGAGTATGAGAAGCCTATCAAAATTCTTCTTTCTGCTCTGCTTCTTATCAACATTTTTCTGTGAACTGAATTATTTGTTCTTGATATGCATGGCAAGGCTGGAATGTCTGAAAGTTGATTTAAAGGCGACAACCATGACCAGTAACTCCTATGCAGCACTTTCCAGGAAAGAAGGGAATGTCTGTCTTTCTGGTAGAGAAAACTGTAGTGGCAGAGATGGGAGAATTCGTTGGAGGCTTCAGATAAACTCATTTGGTGTCTGATGTGACCTAATGTGACCAGTAGAAGTTTTTTTTTTTTTTTAATTTCCCAGCCTCCAGCCCCCCCCTCCTGCCTCTTTGGGGGAAAGGGAAGATCATTTAATATCATTCATGGTCAATGAACAGATAGTGACCTATGGAAAGTTTGTCTACTACAGTGATAAAGAGCATGAAGTGAAAAGCTAGCATAAGATAAAATAGAAATTACTTGAAATAATATCCATCCTATTATGAAATTCAGTAAGAAGATAATGTTATGAAGTAGCATCACCCTAAGTATAGGGAGCAATTAAAAGACAGGTTGTTGCTTGGCATCTCTTAAGCCTGCTGGTATTAATGTTATTGCAGTGAATAAAATTGGATACATCTCTATCCCATGCTCAGATGTTAGCTTTCGAGCTAGACCATAACAGAAGTTAAAGCATGTTAACCACATTTTGTGCAATACTTGCATTTCAGGGTTAATGGGCAAAAACTGCAGTTAAAGAAGTAGTCTTGCCTGTGTACCTGGAAGGATAAGCTACTATTCAATAAACGCAACATTTCAAGGGAAAACTCTTCAGTTTTATTTTTGAAGTTTTGATATATTATGCAGTGTGGTTATTTTATACAGTAGTTTTGAAATGTTGGAAAATCCTTTCTTTGACAATTACCTTTCCAAGTAGCAGTTGTAAGGTTATAACACTGAACTTGGATTTTCTGTAGCTATGGTGACAGGGAGTGTAATTAAGATACTGAAACTATAAGTGAAACAGGCCTCTATGGATGTGAAAAATTATGGTAGTGTCAGTGATTTACCTGGAAGTTAAGCATAAATCCACCACTTCTGTGATTCTTTCAGTTTCATAAGTTCCACCCCCCTTCAAACACAGTAAATTTTTTTTTGTTATTGATATTAGTACTGTTGCAGAAGAACCTTCTAGAAAGTATTGCCTGCATGAAAGATTAATTAAGTTACTTTTTTGCTTCATTTTTCAGAAGTGTACAATACAACAGGCTTAAAAACTCTCACACCTTCTCAGAAACAGACCTCTTGTTAAGTATAACATACAGTTATTTGCCTAATATTAGGTACCTATATTGTAATTTCAAGAGCAGTTTTGTCCAGTTTTATCTCCCTTGAATCTCTAGTTCTGGCACACAAAATTCAAAGTAGAAACTCTTACATTTGTATGTATAGAGTCTGTCCAGCAGAGCATATCTGCATCGTTTATATGACATATGTAATGGGCACTTCCTTGTTTGCCTTTGGAAACAGCTCCTATAAATAAAAATCAGTTGCTTCTTCAGTAGAAATTATGAACTTCTGGAAAAAAAAAAATATTTGGGTAGTGATGGTAGTCCTGTTAGATTTATCTAAGACTGAATTTAATCCATTACCATTACTCACGTGATATATTGGAGACTTTCCATGATGCATGACTGTGTTCATGGATGGTTAGTCAAGGAAGAGTGTCTGTTGAAGACACTATGGCTTTCATTTGCAGCTCCTAAATTTCCTATATTAGGTGTCCGGATGGGTGTAGCATTTAATGAAATTTTAGAAGTATTCATCTGACAATGATCAGAAAAGGTTTGGTGAAATTTTGAGTTCTTGTTTAATGGCCAGTGTTTCGCAAAGATGGTAAAACCAGCTTTATTAGACTGAGTAGAGAACTTAGAGGAGCTGAAGCCCCAGATTTTTTACTACCTCATCTCATCTCACTTGAGCAAGGGTCATATGGAATAATTTTGTAACTTGGATTTCATAATTTCATCAGAAATGATGGAAATGATGGTTTGGCATTATGACGTTTTTCCCTAGCTTTGAATGATCACACCAACAATATATTTTTTTCTTATTTTCCTGAGAGTTAGAGGAAGCACAAACAGAAAGAGGAAAACAAGGCTGGAGAAATAAGATGATATCAAGTATTTTCAATGAATACCATAATGAGGTTAAAAGATTTAGATGAAGTTAATTTATTCTCCTTTCAAGCATTCTTTGTACTTTATGGTGCTTGAGGAACTTGATTAAATATGCATAATTTTTTCTGAAGCTGAACTGAAATAAAAATAAGCCTTTATCAGTGTAATTACACAAGGCTCATACCTGGGAGTTTTGATGTGAACTCTGAATTCCGTTCTGTTGTTTAGAACATGCATAAAATAGCATATAATCTGTGTGGAAGACTAATCCTTCATTAATTATATTTGTTTCCGTTAGTAGCTGCTTATCATTAATTATTAAGAAAAGAACAAGACAACAGTCTGTGGAAACTTGACATGATATGATTTGTCTCGTGAGCTGGAATCTCTTTTTTAGTTTCTCTAACCATTAGGCAGTAAGGGCAATATTAAGCTTAAAAATATGCCAGCTTTCAATCTTTCTTCTTTAAATACTTAAATACTTTAAAGACTTTAAAATACTTTCTTATTCTAGATAACTGTAACTTACTGTTTAAATTCTCCTTTCCTCCTGCTTAACAGAATAGTACCTGGCTGTCTATGACAAACTTGAAGCTTTCTGTAGATGTTCATACATCTACTGTACTTGAGAACTGCCTTCACAGATGCATTGGTTTTCTGTTTTCAGAAATGCCAAATAACTTTTGGGTATATGTTTCTTTTGACCCAAGTTTTTTGGGGTGCTCAGAGCCTGTTTGTGGTAGAGCTCAAGATTAGCTGGTTAGAGAGATGAAGGGCTTTGGAAGAGCAAGTGCTAGGACTGTTCAGAACCAATCTCTAGAATTGATTGTACCCAACATATAAGGTTTGGTGCTCATTCTCTTTTAATATGAAAGTTGCTTATGTACACCAGAGATAATTTAGGGTAAGTAGAGGTAAGATCTCTGTTTCTGTAGTCCATGTCCTATTCTTTTCTATTTCAGACAATCATCATTCTCTTAGTATGTAAGCTTTAGAAGTATTCTTCTACTTTTCTATAGATATGCCGTGTTAACGCCCTTTGTCTTTTTATTACAAACTTAATTGACAAAAACACAAAAAGCATAATAATGCAGGAAAATTTAAATTTGCCCTGTAAACGGAACATTAATGAAGTGGCTTGTATCTACCTTCACTGTGGGAACGTATCTTAAGTTTTCTTAGTTTTTAATGTTAAAACAAACTTGAAACCATCCCCTAATGCATGTAGCTGCTTGCATAGAAAGGTTGCTTTAATACTTTTTTTTTTTTTTTTTCCCCGGGGGGTCAAATGGGGGGGGGGGGGAGTTTTTATTGGAGGGATAGGTTTTATCTTTTGCACAGACATTTTCTCTCTTTGGGAATCTGAAATCCTGAATATTTCTGTACCATAAATTATTAAAACTGTAGTTTGATTGTTGCTAGTTACTCTGAAGATGGTAAAAAAAATATCTAGATTTAAACTTCACTCTTCTAAAGTTTATTTAGATGCCATATGGTGATATTGGTATTAATCACATTTTTATTGTAGTCATATGTAATATTTTTTGAGGACAAGGCTGGTGTTACAAGCTTTCTACTCTTACTTCAAGCTTTTTAGTGCAATATAACAATAGAAAATTTCTAAGGTAAACTGAGGTTTCATCATGCAACAAATTATCTTGTGTCTATTCTGAATGGAGTTACATGTTGATTTTACATCTAGTATTGTTCACTGAAGTGCTGGTCGCCTGTTAAGATAAAAATAGAAAAGATGAAAGCTCTGAATGCAGGAAGACATTAAAGGTCATAAAAATTCAGGTCTCTATGCCGTATAGTATAATCATTCTTTAGGCAATAGATTTATCTTCCTGAAATAATAAATGACAAAATTATAAACCCTATCATAATTCTTGACAAAAAATCTGACAAATATTGCCATTATTTTTACACATTACAATCAGCTATACAGCGTATTTTGGCTCTAGACAGAACAGTCGGGGTAGTCTGGACATGCATTCATTTTTACTAAGAAATATAGAAAGAGGCTGACATTTTTAGTAGCAGAAGAGCTTTGATGTGATGATGAACTGTAGAGAAAATACACTTTATCTCTGAGTTTCCTAGACTAACTTTGGAGCAACCTGTCTTTCTTTCTCTTTCTTCAGTGCAGCATTGACAAACTTTAAGATAGTTTAAAAACTGTTGTTTTTCTAGTTCATCCAGATATCATTGCCACTGCAGTGGTTCCCATGATGAGAGACTATAAAATCCGTCCCTCTTTCAGCACCAAGTCACAACTTAGGTTTGTTTTGATGAAAATCTTACCAGAAAATGTCACTTTCAATGCATTAGGAGTGAACTTTTTTTCCTCCTTGAGTGATTTTTTTTTTTTAATTTTCTTCCCCAATATTTGCTATCTTTTGACCTGCAGAAGAACATTATTGTGTAACTGCAATGTCTGATGGACAACGTGATTCAACTTTTCCTTTTCTTAAACATGCATAGTGAATGCCATTTGATGGGTGGCTTAATCCTCCCCTTTCCCACATGCTGTTCTTCACCATATGTTCCTTCCTTTTTAATTTTGTTGGTGCCGGTAAGCATCAACCTGGTTGATGCAACTGAAAATGAATCTCAGAGGGGGTGGTAAAAGAAATCTGCTGAATCAGCAGATATGATTCTTTTGAATCAAGTTGCAGTCAAGTTCATTGAAACTAATAGTGAATACTGCAAGATTGTATTTGAAAAGAAAAGATGGTGACATTTATAAGTAATCTCTAATCTGTTTAGTCAATATCAATGAGATCTTATAGGTAATGAGATTACATGTGGATGTTTTGCTGACCTAATCTGTGTTAGAAGGGTTAAATTTTAGCTATTCCTTTTCAAGTTTCACTTAAGTATTTTAGTATTTCTCTTTCCCACTCTTGTTGCTCCTCACATTACTTTGACATAAAAATAAACGTACTAGTTAAGCAGGGAAAGTGGAAAATTGCTATAATTATTGAACAATTTATGTAAATCCTACAGGTTGGTAGAATTAGGTATGATATTGAGGACCATTTTAATGGTAATTTTATGTCTTCCCTTAACAGTGGAAATGGTGGCTCATCTCCATCAGTGAAAGATCCACTTGGTATCCTAGAAGGAATCGTTTCTGCAGTGCATGCAAGTGTTGAGAAAGGGTAAGAATTTACTGTATGGATTCTTTGGTTAAGACATTGACAGATACTTCTCATGAAAGCATTAAAGGTATGAAACTGAATATGGATGATTTTTCTTTGTGGGGGTGTGTGTGTATATACATATATATATAAAT